AAATTACAACACTTACATTATAATAATCATATAAAAATGATAATATAGTAATAATATATAATAATAATAATAATAATAATAATAAAAAATAATAATACGTATAATACAGTAAACAAGATGACAAAGCAGCATTGAAAAAGTGCATTGATCACAGTTACTCCACTTCACTTCACTTCACTACACTACATTTTTTGCTTTGAATTACCTTTGCATTACACACTGACAGCACTTCACAGCACCTCACCGCACTAAAACAGCAATACTTTTAATATCTGTTCTAATTGTTTCTAAAACTGAGAGGAAAAGCTTTGAAAACTGCTGCACGGTAAACTGTTCCAATCTCTAATTGTTCGTTACCAAAGGAAAACTTCCCAAGATCTGAATTTTGTTTCCTTGCTCGAATTTTGTGGGTGTGATGCGCTCGGCCGAAATAATTTGGTTTTTTCTAATCTAATCGCACGATTTATAAAGAGAGCAAAGCCTCGCCTTTGTTCTTCTCGTTTCTAGAGGTTCCCATGACTTTTTTAATGGTACTTCTAGTTGTTACTTCGAAGGAAATTTAGAATTATATTTATGCAAATAAACCTCGTCAATCTGCACAAACCACGATGTACGCAGAAAGACATAAATAGTATATGGTGCAGTAATCTAAGCTTTCTAAGCGTGACGTCACAAAGATGGCCCCCCCTCACCCACGATTGAATTCTGGGGGCATTGGTAGTATCGATAAGTGCCCATCAAGCAAAAATTTATACAGAATGTACAAGTATATCTCATCCTATAGATTACTGTGAGAGGGACATTTTTTTGATGCCATTGACCCTAAAATTTTAATTTCTAAGACCCTAGAATGCTTCGGTTTAACGTTATAGCTGACTGAGTGCTGCGGATTGCATTTGAAATTAATATGTAGATGAGTTTTTTGAAAATAAATCCTTCGTACTTGCCAAAGAGCAATTCGTCAGGTCTTCAAGGAATTCTCTTCCTTTAGACATCTCATTTATAAAGAGACGCAAAAGGTATGATACCATATAGAAAACGATTTTTTTACTAGGGCCATTATCCAGCCGACAGCCGCCCTTTACGTCCTGAAAGGACGCGTATTCTTCCATACCCAAGACACCAACACACTTGCCTGCATCCCTTATCCTGGGTCAGCAGAATGCAAGGCCCTTCGCGTCACCACATTCAAAAAAGACAATGAACAGCCAACCTTGCCCTCAGTGGAACTCGAGCCCGCGACCTTTCGGAGCGAAGCTCTGAGTCGGTGGCTCTTAGCCACCTCGGTCATCCAGGTCGCCTACTTTGTGATAATACATTGATTTTGGATTATAATGTATTTAATTAGCATGTTTTTGATATTTGAAAACTTTTCAGGCACATAATATAGTCCTCCTGAAAAGCGATAAAAAAAGGAAGCTATGTTATTTATTTGAATGAGGGAGAAATAATGTATTTTCGTCAAACACGTGAAACACATTTACAGTTATGTACTGCTCAAAAATCCTCATTCTCAAAACCGCTTATACGCCATTTTCTCAAAAATAGCATTAAATTTTTCTTTAAAATTTTGGTAGGAGTAGTGCTTAAATCTAGAAAATGACATAAACACTATTTTTCTATATTCTTTTGTTTTTTTTCAAAAATTACACAATGTAATTTTGACTTGTTCCTTGTTATAATATTTATACTAGCAGCGATTTGTTCATATTATTGCATTTAAAATACCATGTTCTTTAAATAATGTAAATAATACAGTATCGCTCCGTCTGTGAACACAACTAACGCATAAAGAATGCATAGAATGTTTTACAAATTGAAGAAACCCCTGTCTACCTGTCATGAGTTGAGGCTTTGAGATTTTCAAAAACATTCTTTAAAATTTGTGGGTTCTTGACATTAAGCCTCTAGGACATTTTCAAAATTTTCACAAAAACGGCCTCAATGTTGTTTTTTTAATTTCTTGTAAAAAGCGTAAAATACACTGAAACAGGTGACATATGTTCAATTATCAGGATTAACTAGGAATTTTCGAAAATTTCAAAAGTTTGAATTTGATTTGTCTTTCTACAACTAAAACTGGTGGTGCTACAGAATGGTACAGACTTGCCCTTACTAGTTTTATATTTCCTTTGGTCTCGGCTAGCTATATTAATTTTGATGTGACCGGGAATCGCTCAAACTAGAACGTGTGAGAAAAAGTTAAATTTATTAATTACATTCAATGTCCAAAATCGTACAGTTACAAGACAGATCGTAGATAGCCAGACGATAAAAAAACAAAGCAGGGTTTACACTAGAGTCCGGGAGAGAAACACGTGAGTACAGCAGGGTCAAGATACAGTTTATATGCAGCACGCAATCCACGGGGCCCGCCCGGCCTCTGCCGCTGCCGTCGCATGTTGAGTGAAGGGGCGCAGGCTGCCCCTCTGCCCCAGCCGCTGCCGCCGCTCCGGCGCTCCCTGGCCGAGCCGTTTCCTGCGCCGAGTCGTCGAGGGCGAAAGTAGCGGTGAGCGTAGCTACGGTTTAACAGCCACTATAAACTTACTACATGCTCTTGCCAGCTGCCATCAATTGCCGCAAAAATTGAATTTTTTGTTTTAAAAATCCTTATTTTTTTGGTTTCCTAATAGTAGACCGGAAACATTTTGTTAAGAATAGTAAAAAATTGTAAAACCACACCCTAAATGGTAATTTCCGTTGAAAAAAGTGGAGTCGTTTTTAAGAAAATGGCGTTTAAATACACCTATAAATCGAAAACTTTCTATAAATTCAAAATTTGATGCTCTTTTTCACAGAAAGTTTTTGAGTTTTCGAAAACTTTTATTAGAAATTATTTGAAGCACTGTAACTAATAAATACAATAGTGTTTACAAATTGCTTAAAAGGTGCGTATTAACGGCATGAGAGATCTTTCAACAAAAACACATTTGAGGAATTAAAAAACGTATTATGTAAACTATGAAAAAATATGAAGACTTAGGATGAAAGATGAGTCTGAAAGTGCATTTACTTCACTCCCATTTAGACTGCTATCCAAAAACCCTGGGAGCAGTGAGTAACGAAGTTGGGGGTGAGTGAGGGTGGGAGGTTTCACCAAGGTATTAAACGCATTGGGACCAAAGGCGTTGAAATACATCAATGGTGGCTGACCAATGTTGGTTACTGCAACGAGATGGTCCTATTAGAATGCATAAGAGAACAAGTGGAACAACAAGATTTTTGTCTAAGCGTCAACGGTTCTATTAACTACTCATATGCGTAAAAACAAACAGGAGTTGTAACACTGAAGTGTTCCAGTAACAGTAAATAAATATTGTTAAGTT